CATTCTACATGTAGAGATATAGCCAATGCTTTTTTCGTGAACTATGCATGAAGTTTGTAAGCTCTCCAGAGGGTTCACAGCCCATTCACATGAAACTTAACAAATATGTAGGGTTTATTTTTTCTTAAATTCTACATTCTAGAAGTCTCACTTTTATATTAAAATAGGTCCTCTTCCAGTTACGTCATTTTATCTAACCAAATAGTTACTTGGGTGCAATAACCTTGGGATGGGGCTTAGCCCAAAACCCACTACACCTAGCCAGTGGGTAATGCTAAGGGTGCTATCTACCTCGGTCAAATATATTAAAAGCAGGCTTTGATTTACACAAAACAACAAAAACTAAACAATATTTTAACTACATACATACAGTACTGGACAAATTAATAGCAACAACTTTATAATTGCGGAGAAAATGGGGTCTTTAAGAATGAACTGTTGATCAATATTGATGTTTGAACATATTCGCGTGAAATTTTGCACACATGCCCGCATGGTCTCACTCTTTGCACTGAATGTATGATCGACGTCGTTCATGACGTAATGACGTCATCCCGGCTGATGACGTCACTAACAACCACCATGATTTTTTTTTTGCAGTTTTTGAACATGATCATTATAGAAATATTATAAGGTAGAAATACCAAGTAAGTAAGACCAATAAACTGTATTCTTTGATTCGGGATATCACTAAAAGTTTATAACAGTAGAGACTAAGTAATTTCATTGTTTATATATCTGTATACAATATACGGTTAACACTATTAATACGGTATACACAAGGTAATTAGAGAGTATTTGGAGATACAGTTAAACCAGTTTTACTATCTGTTTCTGTTGATATACAGCGCAGGGTCCTTTAAAGTTTGATAATACAGGTGTGTTTTTAATTGAGGTAGGTAGATTAAACCAGAGACAAGGTCCTGAATCAACTGTAAACGCTGTTTACATGGTTCTATTCAACAAAATTGGTGCTGACTTGTCCCCTCATTTAGCCAATATAAATGACACCTTTGTGTTTGTTTTGTTTTGTTTTTTTTGTTTTTTTTTTTTTTTTGGAGGGGGGGGGGGTGCCATTAACGATTCTCAATAACTGCTACTTATATTTTGTTTTATATAATTATTACTTTCTTTGTCATTTGTGTAAAGCAAAAGCACATATATAACTGTAAGTAAAGACAGGTGTCGTCAGTATGTTTCAAGATCTGTTTGAAACTAGCATTCTGAAAAGAAATGTGCCAAGCCCTGTGATATAGTACCAAAGGATATAGTAATAAAACTGATTGTGGTTTCATGGTATTTATTATAGAATTACACGAACAACAATATATGATAATATAATAACTAATGGTTCTAATAGTTATTCTACATATCGTCGGTTGCAGACATAATGACTAGCATTCGACTCTCAATGGTGTTTAACCAAGATTAAGTTTATACCAAACTACATCTTTACATACGTAATCAATCATAATTGTATACCATGACTAGTAGTCATATGTCAACTAGGTTGTTGTTGTTTATTACAGATTTAACGTCCCATACAATAAATATGATATGGACAGGTTGATTTAATTATACTTAAGAGGTTGAAAATTGGTAAAAGCAAACTAAAAAAAGTTATTGTATACCAAAATGTCACCTTTCGTGAGAAGAGTGGGTGGGTCATCTCCCTTTGCCATAATAAAAACATGTTAAAACAGAAGTCCAGGTGACTGATGTTGGCGTCATCAGTGCGGATAGGAAAAAAAAACTCGTAGGGAAAAACGATCTGATTGCTTTATTTGGAAAAAGAGGCAAAAACCACATGTGGAATCGCGGTAAAAACCACATAGCTGGACCCGGGATTATTTACATATGAAAAACAGTTCGACCAATAAGTTTCATATGGTTAAAAGTTAGTTAAAAATCATTAAATTCGGTTCACAACTTCAGCGTTTAAGAGTTAAAGGCATTCCATTAGGGTTTTTCTTGCGCATGACTCATCCCAGATAAAAGTTACCTGAAAAGAAAAATTACAGCCAGCAGCAACACAGAACAAATCAATTAAAACAAATTAAAACATTTATAGAAATAATACATGGCATTACATGTTTAGACATAAATTACATTCTTTTCTGATTATATTTAACAGAGCCGGCATCGAACAAATATCAGAGACTCAACCGTTCGGTCACAGAGCTAATGATCTACATGTATTAAAAGACCTAAGATTGGGTCACTGTCAGATTACAGACAAGGTATTTTCGTATCAAGCCCCAGGCACTTTATTAACCTACACTATGACATAAGCCTAAGCAATGTTGTTAAGAAGAAAGAAAATCCACAACACGCTCAAAAGCTGGGGTCCAACACCTGCAATCAAATATAGGACACAGAAATAAATCTGGCAACTAACCTTCCTCTAGAAAAGAACCGTAAAATGACTGAGGTCATACATATAAAAGGGAACAGCCCAGACCTAAACTGTGACACAGGGATATTCCTGTCTAATGCCAATGGTGGACTTAAATAAACTTTATTCCTTTACGATATTATGCTCACTTGTATTTCCATCACACCCAACTTATTCTTTAATACTGTCAAATTAAGATTAATGATTACCTTTTAATTTTTTCATCATTAATATTTTTATTAGGGGGTTTGGATGGCCGAAGGGTTAGCGTGTGCGCGCTCCATCATAAGGCCTGTCATTGAGTCAACTGGCGTGGTTTACACCACAAAACAACATCAAGACGTTAAATAAAGCTATTTCACACTCACTTGTATGACTGCATTAAAGTCAATAAGACATGACAAAACAACATCAAGACTAGAAATGTTTCACAATACTCGTGCAAATGTTGATTCCCTCCCCCCCAAAAAATAGAGCCGTAGAATTGGCATGGATACCACCCCATGTCGGCATAGTAGGAAATGAGTGCGCAGACAATCTTGCTCGCAGTGGACTTAACATCTGCAAGACAGAAGACTTAAAATATAGCTTTCAGGAATTTAATAACATTGTTAAACTAAAATTAAATCGGAATGGAAAGCCGAATTAACCAGAGCAAATACTCTTAGATTCAAATTAAATAACGATTTGATTGAAAAGACGAAGGTCAATTACGCGGCGCGATATTTGTGGGTTGATCACGAATGCGGACAAATGTTAACCGTTAATCATGTCATCACTGCGTGCAATAAACTGGAAGAAAAACGAACCCCCTTAAAAATGTACCCCCCCCCCCCTCGGAATATGTCATATTAGATGTATGGAACAGTCTCAAAATTCATAGCTGAATTAACTGTTTAAAGTGAATTGCACAAAATAGAGCATTCTATGATTGACTAGTCATGGTAGAATAACTGGTTGTGTAGACCAGGTTGGCGGCTAGGCACCTGGATGCTTTAATAATATCAGAATAAATTAACATTATGTTACGGTAGGGAACTACATATGTAGTTACAAAGGAACTATTGCAGAACAGTATGGCGGTTCCGTCTACTGTATGATTTAAAGTAGCTAAGTCTTTAACTCAATATCATCCAAAATCTTCGACATTGAAAACACGATTTATTTGTCGGTTTAAATCAACATTGATGTTGTGATCTTACCGGGAAAAGATGGCCTTCTGATATCCAATATTTAAGACAAAATAAACATTTTACATTTGGTACACGAATCGTGTACGGCATAATGCGTTTCAGTGCTATTTTTAATAAGGGACTCGAAAAAACGAGACTAGGCATATTCCACAAGTCATGTCAAACGGTGACGCTATATTCTTATCTGGAGAGCATGCCCAATAAATACCATCGGCGTAGACTGGAATAACCAGAAGCTAGAGATTGAAATTCGATTGAGAATACTGGCGTATGTCGCCGAACCTAACGGATTAGAAATTACAGTAAAAACAGAAACGATTGAATGTAAATCAATTTATATACATTCATATTACATTATTGTATGCGTTGATACCCATTTGTGTCAATTTCTAGGTCCCAAATATTAGCGATTTAGCTCCTTTTATATAATAGCAATGTCAAAAGGAAGAGGGGCGTACGCAACCATTTATTAACAATGACAGTGCATATATAAATCTGTATAATTTGTATTTAAAAATCTTGCGAAATGTATTATTGTTATAAATGTTTAAATCGTTCTGTTCTGTGTTGCTGCTAGCTCTTCTTTTGCTTTTCAGATAACTAAATCTAAAGTATTTGCTCTGGGTAACCCGGCTATCCATTCCGATTTAATTTTAGTTTTAACAATAATATTAATGGACAAAGAAAAACATTAATGGACTGCAGATAATAAATGGTTTTAAACACTGAAGTTGTGATCTGTGTTAAAGGACTTTTAACGATATGGAAAGAACTGCACGAACATTCTTATGTAATAAATACTCCACGGGTCCAGCTATGTATCTTTACTGCGAGAAGGTTTTTACTTTTTCCCACAGTTTTTTTTTAATCCGCAGCGATGGAATCAAGCAGTCATACCTCCTGATTTAACTTGTTTTCATTATGACAAAGTGAGATGATGACCCATCCCTGCTCTCGCGACAACGATTTTAAAATTGTGTTTCAAAGTGACTTTTGATAATATACAAGAACTTTTTATTTTAGTGTTTTTACCCATTTTTATATATCATTCTTTCATATGTAATAACTTAATCAAATCAACCTGTCCATAATATCATATTATGTATTGGACCTTTACATTTGTAATAAACAACAAACAACATTGTATTACTGTACATGTATTAACTCTTCGAAACTTCGCCCAAATAAATAAGTAGCTGTTTCACATAAGTATTTGTCATAGTCATCACAATAACCTCAGTTGCAATAAAATGTACTTCCGTTCACCCACTCGATTGGTCGATAAAATGTTGCAAGTTTTAAGGGCGGATAATTTGAATATCTGAATGCACCCAAGAGCTTGTAGGGCAGAACGGAACGATACCACTGGGGATACTGGTGATACAGTCACAAATATTAGTATAGATTCGAGTCTACACCAGAGCTCGGCGTAATTTCCGCACCAACAATGATAAATCTTCCCGGAACCTCTTATTCATGACAGCGTAGATAAATGGGTTAACAGCATTGTTCAAATAAAACAGATGGTTGAGCAAGGCTTCAGCAACAGTTCCAAAATTAGATTTGTCCATCCAGAAGTTAGGCACCACAATTCTGGTGATTTTTATGATCCAGAAAGGCAGCCAGGATAACAAAAACACCGCAGTTACCAAAAATAACATTTTAGCAGCTTTGCGACGAGACGGCCCACTTTGCAGTGTTGATATTTGAACGGGGTTGAGAACTGGTACAGGTAACATGTTTATCGCTTTCACAGACATCTCTGTATCGGGTGTTATATCTTTAGAACAGGCTCCACGCTGGAAGAACGCCTTTTTATTATCGACTACCTTCTGAGAAGTATTAGGCTGTGGTGACACTCCGATGGCATTGATTTTGGGTCGGACTCTTCTAGCTCTATAAATAGTGGCGCCAACTTTATAATAGAGGATTGACATACTAACCACTAAACTGGTAAATCCTATCATCACGAATAAACTAAACAGATTAAGCGCTGTCGTACCCTGATGCTCATCATCATAGTCACACATATACGTCTTAAATATAGTATGTTCCACTTTCTTGAGGATTGTCCTCGCGCCATAGAAATACAATAATGGGAAGCTTATTACTATGCCATGGACCACACTGACTATCAGTAGGTTTCGGAAGGCCTTAAATGCAAAACCCAAACGGTGCGGATAACATATAGCCCGGTAGCGATCGAAGGCGATGGCAAAAAGTATACCCATAGAAACGCCTAAACTGGCGTGGTTGAAAAACTCAAATATTTTACAGGTGGTAACCCACACTTGATTGTATTGATTAGTTAATTTATAGATTATGTATGGGTGAATAATTATACAAGACAGAAGGTCTACTACTGCTAGCCCAAGCATACTGATGTTAGATACCGTGGCATTACGTTTATCTGTGTAGACAGCTATAACCAAACTGTTTCCAATCAAACCTGTCACAAGCAAAATCACCATAAAAAGTATAACTGGCCACATGACTATTGTTTGTTCGTAGTTCAGTGTTGCCATTTGGTCTTCTGAAAGAACAGTGTTGTTATCAAGTGTTTTAGACATTGTTTAATGTTTATTCAAAAGTAACAAGGAAGATTAGGTGGTCTAGTGGTTTAAGGTATGTCATGGAGTCAAGTTGCGTGGTTTCGATTTTCCGCTTGTACGTGACGAAGCGTAGGGTCGCCTGTTTAACCTCGTGAATTTTCTGTGGGTTCTCCGGCTTCCTGTCACTGCTAAAGAAACATAGACACAAGCGATTTATTGATAAAAAAATGAACCATGTGTTATTTCCGACCTACTTTGTGTTGAGTAGACGTAATACCTCATCTCTCTCTCTCTCTCTCTCTCTCTCTCTCTCTCTCTATTCACATGAACAAACACGTTTGACGTGGATGAAATTGAGCACCATCTGGCAGGTTGTAAGTGTTTTTCTCAACCTATGAAAGACAAAAAATAAAAGTATTAAATGAGCTAAATCTGTTTTTCACTATTTTCCATTATATTCGAAATTAAAAACACGAATTAGAATACTGGTCCATTTCAATCAATATTAATTATGTTATCTTGCCGTGAAAATATAGGATCACCATATCCAATATTTAAGAAACACCATTAAAATGTTATAATAAGTACACGAGTCGTGTATTCTTTGAGGGGTACAATTAAAAATATATCCTAAAAGACAACGTAAAGGCTGATTCCCAAACGACAAAATAATAATTAACAAGATGACTAGTCAATACCATTCCGCGCCCGTGCACATAAGGAGAAACAAATTCTTGGGATATCAATGGGAGTATAGTCAGAAGAATCATACTCTGATCACAGTAGCTCGACAACGCACGGCCACTACTCCCTGTAAGGTTTACACAACAGCCTTTGCCTATCTCAATCATTCTACGGAGAATTTTGTTTCCATGGAAACACAAAAATGATTAAATCCGACAAATTTCTAATTAGCAAAAAAAAAACACTTCTACTGTAATGGGATGATGTGTGTGCGAAGTTTAAAAAGCTATTTTGATCGGTTTATGAGAAATGCCCCGAAGACAAAATTGTACATAAAAGTTAAATCAAATCTGTTTCCATAGAAACACAAAAATGATTAAATCCGAGTAATTTCAAATTAGCAACTTTAATAGATTGATGTTTGTACAAAGTTTCATGGAGATATATTGTATGGTTTATGAGATATGCTGCGGAAACAAAATTGAAAACCAAAAACTATTATAATAGGTTTTATGTTGCCACATTTTTTTATTGTATGTTTGTGACCACATCTCCAACTTTACCTGAGCAATAAGGCTCCTTCCCAAACACAGAAATGAACCCAGGGAATGTTCTTTAAAAAAGCAGCCTGAATTCTGAGATGGTAATGTTTTCTCCATGACTTTCATGTAACTCATGCTGCACGTGCTGTTCACAGGGGTCAGCCCTATAAAATGCACCCCCATACCTGGTTGAATCATTCACACTACAACGTCAGCAGCATGCCACGACTCACGACAACTCAGAGGAACCTGGCGCTTCGAAGACTCGACGCTGGCCACACTGCCCAGGGCTCACATTGGCTTTCATTTTTTCCCGCCAAAATTGATGATAATTTTTATATAAAAAAATGTTCATATTTTTTTCCGCCAACTGGAATATTTTATCTGCCAAAAATGTGTGATAAAAAAGATTACATCTAACAATGTTGTCTCAGCTAGACTTAAGTTTGGATTTAATAAGATCAGATTTTATTTTTGGTGACTTTATGCTATTTGAACACCGTACCTCACAATATATGTTCAGTATTTACACGTCAAATCTAATTCAGGGATTGCAAATTAATTTTCTATAAATTTATGTGTTGCGTGTACAATGTGGCAAATTGTTTTTTTCAGGTACCGTAGAAGTATCAGAATCTGAATCCCAGATAGAATGATAGATATAAATTTCAATTATATTTGTAAGAGATGCTTACAATTATACCCGTCGTTAACTTTTAGAGCATTTTGGCGACGGTTATACGATGCAAATGGCGAACTGTTTTCTCACTTAAGAATCGCCACTATTCAATTCGTTCTTACGTTTTCGACCAGTGGTAATAATATGTGGTGATCTGAAACGCACGTTCATAGCCCGACCCACGTCCTCAGTTTAAACGACTTAGTTTTCCTATTGTTTTCCGCTAGTAATTAGTAATTATTTAATTTAATTGTCCATTTTTAATTATTTTGTTATGTAGTCCATGTTTTCATTCATATTTATATTGTAAATGTATTTTCGTATATCCGTCTTTACACGCGCTGTCATTGGCTCGTTGTGTATTGGCTGCACGTGTTTATGATTAACAGGAACAGTAGGGGGATGCTCGATTTTCAGTCCCGACGACGGAGGTGGTGTGAGTAGAATTGTGACGTAATTAAACACGGTGAACGGGTTTCGGCTGCATGGTTGGATGAGATATCCGGTCGACGCATGCGTTGTAGCCCGAAGTACCCATTTTCACTTGATTGTCACTATTTTTGGGACTGACAGAATTCAATTCCGGAAAGTTCAATCCAGTATGCCCTAGGTGTATCTTATACCACGTGGTTACGCCACGTGATCTTGGGTATGTAGTACCTTGTCTTGCCCAAGCTTGTACACCCTTTAGTAGCAGACATTTATTATCTGCTATTGTCACACGAGTTTATCGGCAAGGACACAGTCCTTTTCTGGCTCCCCAGTCATGAAAGGGAATAACTTTTTACCCTTTACAGATTTTAAATCATGTATTAACCATTTTATATATGACCGCTAGCAATGGTCTTGTAGACACAAATAAACTTCATCACACCAAGCCCCATGGAGATCGGCCTAGCTCCTACAGGTCTAACAGGAGAGATGAGGTTGTTTTGTGTCGCTCTCGTATTGGTCATACTGTTTTAACTCACATTTTCATATTAAAGCGAGAGTCTCAACCAGAATGTGAACACTGTCATGTTCTTTTGACAGCGAAGCATATTTTGATTGAATGCAAGCACCTCAAGGATGTTAGGTCGCATTTTTATCGTTGTCAGTCATTACATCACATGTTTCCCCAACCGGCTTTATATCATAAAACAATTTATTCCGAATTGGGTTATTCGCAGTCAAGATATGAGTGCGACACGCTTGATTCAGATCAACAGTTTTACCAGAAACGATAACTTTGCGCGCATGTTGGGGTGTAGCCTACATAGCTGTAGCCCTTCGTCACTGAAACAAATACTGTGGTAACATAACCAGCTAACGATAGGCTGTCAGGCGACGAAACATACGCCCTAGCTGCTAAGTCCTCCGAGCAGTCAACAAGGGTTGTGGCATACTTTTCCTTTTGTCAGTAATGCAAACATTTACAACACACTAAATTTTGTCGTATACTAACATTTAATATCATGGGCCATACCTCTAGCAGTAATTATCGTAGATTGTTCAAAATCAATCGGCTTCTTCATCCATGACCTTAAACACCGCACATAAATATCATGGGACATAACTCTGACTGTAATTATCGTAAACCGTTCAAATTCAATTTATTTCTTCATCCATGACCTTAAACACTGTGCATAAATTTAAAGTCAATCAGATATTACATTAGCCTCTATCGCGTCGGACGGGGGCGACGACAATATACGACCAGATTTCAATGTGGGCATATAAAAATCCAAATACAAAGATAGGTGTGTTCAGATCACAGCTGACCATTCACGGTCTAGACCGTCGGTGCAGGGCAGGTAAGCTTTAGTCGTCTCGAGTCTAGTCTCTAGGATGTATTGCATATAACTGGATAATAATGACAACAAAATGTATTGCTTGACATTATGTATGTTTAGTGCTGAAAGGATGTGAGCCACGATGGTTCAGTGAGTAAGACGCTGACTCCCTAGTCTGGTGGTCGAGGGTTCGCTCCCGGTATTGACTGAAAACGTTCATCGTGATTTTCCGGCGTGGTTTCCCCATGTCAGTGTTGTAGGACGGAGGGCATCTGAGACAACACGTCAGATAGTGGGAACACACGGAAGACCCATCAGTACTGATACAGTGCGCCGACGTCTCACCAGAGAGAACATCCATTGCCGTAGACCTTACCGTGAACGGATCATCACCCTCACCCTCGCCATCGACGTGAACGTCTACAGTTTGCCCAACAACACCAGAACTGGCGACACAGGCAATGTTCTGTTCACAGATGAGAGTCGGTTTTGCGTATCAAATGCAGATGGCAGGACCAGAATACGGCGTGGACGTGGCCAGCGTTATTCTGACCAATGTGTCATGGTTCGAGACTAATGGGGCGGTCCAAGCATAATGGTTTAGGGTGGAATCGGCCTGAACCAGAGAGTGGGTCCAGTGGTGTTTCAAAATATTGGTCAAGGGAGAGGAGGCGGCATCACAGCAGTGCGCTACATCGATGGGGCTCTCAGACCCCACGTTATACCACATTTCGCACGTCATCGAAACGTTCTCTAGCATGATAGATAACGCCCGTGCCCACACCGCCAGAGTTACTCGTGACTTTCTACAGCAGAACGGTGTCAACATTATGTACTGGTCAGCCCTAAGTCCGGACTTAAACCCGATTGAACATCTATTGTATGAAATTCAGGAGACTAAATAACATTGTACCGAACCCAAACACAGCCGATGGCTTGCGCGAGGCATTTCTGAGAGTGTGGTTCCAGGTGCCAATGGCATTCATCAATCGTCTGGTTCACTCCATGTACAGACGCTGCGCTGCTGTTATTGACACTCGCGGTGGACGTAACAGATACTGATGTATAGACTGTGTACAGACTCTAAACTTTCTCGTAATATCTTGGAATCGTGATGAATTAATAACTAATGTGTCAACATACTGTTCACAAAAAATTGCTTTGATTCATTTAGTAAGTCGTTTTCTAGAATGATTTAATTAAAGTGCCTCTATGATTTTGAAATCGTACTGACGTTTTTTTTTCTTTGCTGTTTACTATATA